CCTCAATTGAAGGAATACACAAGAATCAGATTGATTACATCTGTAGAAAGAGTGGAAAAGTCCATTACCGTCAACCAAAATAAGGTCAGGGACAAGCTGTGGAACAAACAACTAATTATTTGTATGCAAGTCCAAACTGAACCAGATGAAAACTTGTACAGGTCCATGAAAGCCAAACCGCTACCCCAAGTTTATTCCACCTAAATTTAAAAAAAAAAAAAAAAAAAGGTCTCAAAATATATTTGATGCATTGAAAACTACTGACTGAAGATCAGATGAATTTTGGAATAACCTCAAAGACATAATCCATGAATAAATAAAAATATCATTTGAAAAAAATCATTTAAAAAGATAAGGGGGAAGAACACCTAAATAGGTGTCTTATAACCTAAAAGGAAAGCATTATGAAATAAGAACTGAACAGAAGATTTCTACTAGCAACTTGAGAAATATAACAATGAGATGTGTCAAGACTTGGAATTAGAAAGCCAAAAGGTAAAAACACACTCGGCATTTCTCCAGCTGAAAGAATCGAAGACCAAATTTAAGGCATACGCTGCCAAACTGAAGGACTCTATGGGCAAAAGGCTGAATGAGAAAGAATAAAGAGTGGAAGGAATACACAGCACTACTGCACCAGGAAGAATTGATCCACGCTGAGCCATTTCAGGAAGTTGTCTATAATCATGAGCAAATTGCACTGAAAGGAAAGGTTCAGGCTGCACTGAAGACACCGGCTAAAAATAAAGCTCTGAGAATTGATGAAATAATAGTCTCATTGTTTCAGCAAACAGAAGCAGCCTTGTGTATGTCACTCACTTATACCAAGAAATTTAGAAGACAGGTTCCTGGCCAACAAACTATAAGCCCTCCATATTGCTTCCTCTTTTTATTTTTAAGAGATGATCCCACAGAATGCAAATATATCAAACACTCTCATTAATACCAGGTGCAAATAAAATTTTACTGAGGAACATTAGAAGTGACAACAGCAATACATTGACAGGAAATTGTAAAAATTGGTGCAGGATTCAGAAAAGGCCTTGGAAAAAAGGATTTCATTGTTGGCATCAAATCGATCTTGGTGAAAACAGAGAAAAACAGAAAGATCTTCACTTGTGTTTTATTGACCACACAAAGGCATTTAACTGTGGTCGTAATAAATTGTCAATAAAATTGAAAAGAATGGAGGTTGTACTCTGGTGGAACCGCATATGCACTAAGAAGTGATTGTTAAAACAGACTGAGAGGATAGCCTGTGGTTTAAAATCAGGAAAGACATTTGTCAGGGTTGGACCCTTTCTCTCTACCTGGTAAATCTCTATACTGCACAAATAATTTGAGAAGTTGGCCTATATGAACTAGATAAAGATGCATCAACAACTTACATTATGCAGATGACACCACCTTGCTTGTAGAAGGTGAAGAAAACTTAAAGCATTGAAAAAGATCAAAGACTATAGTGGTTTTTTTTTTACATTTTTTTATTTTAATTGTAATTTTGCAGAAAATTTATATTTTCATTCCTTTATTTATTGTTGAAAACTTCCCCCCTCCAACCCAATCCTCTTTGCAATGCACCTCTTATTTTGGATTGCTTCTTTTAAACAGTTCTTTCCTTCATCTGTTCCAACACAATGTTTATTTTTATCCACTCTTTTCCTCTTCTCCTCCCAATCCCCCATGTCAATCCTATCTTATAACAGTGGTGCTATACAGCATTTGCCTTTTTGTGACTGAGGTATATCACTGAGCATAATGTCCCCCAGGGTCCACCATGTTGTGTAATGTTTTACAAGTTCATTGTTCTTCAGTGGTGTGTAGTATTCCATTGTGTGAATATACCATAGTTTTTCTATCCATGTGTTTGTTGATGGGCACTTGGGTTCCTTTCATCTCTTTGCTATTGTGAATAACACAGCAATTAACCCTGAAGTGCACACATCTGTTTGGATAGCGGTTCTGGTTTTTTCAGTGCAATTGCTGCATCAAATGGTATTTTTATTTTCAACTTTTTGAGAAAGTGCCAAACTGCCTCCCATAGTGATTGTACCATTTTACACTCCAACCAGAAGTGATTAATGGTTTCAATCTCTTTACATCACCAACATTTATAACTTGCTGCTCTGTTGAACTTTGCTATTGTTACTTTGGTGAGATGATATCTCAGAATTGTATTTATTTGCATCTCCCTGATACCTAGGATTACACCTCACAATAAAGAAAACGAAAATCCTCACAACTGGAAAACAGGTCACATTATGATAGATGGAGAAAAGATTGAAATTGTCAATGATTGTATTTTACTCGGATCCACAATCAACAATCATGGTAGTAGCATTCAAGAAATCAAAAGACGTGTTGCATTATCAAAGTCTGCTATCAAAGGCCTCTCCAAGGTACTGAGAAGCAAACATGTCAGTTCAAAGCCTAAGATACACCTGACTCAAGCCATAGAATTTCAGTGGCTTCGTATGTATGTAAAAGTTAAGTAATAAAAAGGGAAGGTCTAAGAAGAATTGATACCTTTGAATTATGGTATTGACAAAGAGCTCAGTAATTCATGGACTGCTAAAAGAGCAAATAGACTTGTCTTGCAGCAAGTGCATCTACCACCTTACTTAGAGGCAGGATGGTGGGACTTTGTCTCAAATACTTTGAATATGCTGTTTGGAGGAATCAGTCTCTGCGAAAAGACATCATGCATGCAAATGTGGAGATAAAGAAAGGAAGACTCTCAACAAGATTATCTGGCACAAGGACTGAAACAATAGATTTAAGCACAGCAGAGATTGTGAAGATGACAGGATTGGACAAAGTTTTGATCTGTCGTACATTGAGTTACTAGGAGTTAGAGGTAACGCAATGGTATCTAACAACAGCAAAGAAATATGTTACTCTTCACTTTTCATAACGATAAAAAATTCATCAGGGCCTGATTGGAATGCTAAATTTAAGAGATGCTGGAATGATAGGGAGTTCAAAAACACGCTGATGGAGATAAACACAAGTAATTGAATCTTCAGCAAGTAGCATATCCATTTAAATGTCCCTCTGAAATTCGTTGTCATGTCAGCTGACACGTAGCAGCCCTATCTCTGTACTCTCCCTGGTCCTCATAATCCCTGAGTGAAACCTTCTCTGATCCTCATAATCTCTGATCGAAACCCTCTCTGATTCTCATAATTTCTGTTGTGTGTATGTCTATTGCTGAAGTCACTGAACCTATTGTCGAATCTACATTACTGAGGTCTTCTTTTTCGCTGACCCTCTGCTTTGCTGAGTGTCTTTCAGGGACTGGCCTCGCCTGATAACAGGCCCAAAGTATGCGAGATAAAGCTTGCCATTCCTGCCTCCAAGAGTCTCTCCTGTTGTTTTTTCAAGACAGATGTGTTTGTTCTTTTGCAGCCCTTTCAATACTCTTTGACAACAAACACCACAGTTCAAAGGCAGCCTTTCTTCTTTGGTCTTCCTTGTTTTTGTCTAGTTTTCATAAGTATATGAAGCAAATGAAAATACTATGGTTTTTGGCCCACCTTCATCTTTAAACAGGAGTAGGGGTAATTGATACGTGATTTACCCAATGCATCATAATTATTAATTCCATGGGTTTTGGGTGTGGGTCCAAGTGAAATGAACCCATTATAACCACATAACTCTTTTCTCCATATATTATGATGTCGCTTTTTTGGCCCAGTTGTGAGAATTTTCATTTTGTGTTGGAGTGGCTTTAATACCTTTACATTTGACAACTATTGTGGGCAAGCTCAGGATTGCACCATGTATCATTCTGTTACGCAGATAGCCACCATATAGCCGCAGATAGTCAAATTTATGGCAACTAAAAACAACAAAACTATTTTTTTGAACTTAAAAAGTAATTGTTGTTGTGTGCTGTCAAGTTAGAACCAAGTTATAGCTGAACTTTGAGTAGATTTTCAGAGCCAGGAATCACTCAGGTGGAGGTTACCCCTCCTTCTCTATGGGATGCAGTAGTAAATTCAAATTACATGGCTTTGGCATTTCAGCACAGCTTCTTACCTCTAGGCCACCAGAGGTCCTAAAAAGTAATGTTGTTGTTGTTGTTGTGTACCATAGAGTTTGAACCAACCCATAGCTAACCTTCTGACGAGTTTTCAGAGGCAACTAATCACACGGGAAGAGATTGCCTATCCTTCTTCCACATAGCAACTGGTGGCCTTGAACTGCATGTCTTCAAGATTGCAATGCAGCTTCTTGCCATAGTAAACACAACAAGTATGTATTGGCCAGTCCTTGTGCTTCCCAAACCCTAAGGCATAGAGATGCTAACCAGTTACTTAATAGTTCAAACCTTACTTTTGCAACTCTGTAGTTGAGATACCTATGTCAGAAGGTTTGTGAATATATAATGAGTCAGCAGTCCATTACTTTATTATCACAAGGTTGTTGTTGTTGTTGTGTACCATCGAGTTAGAACTCACTCATAGCTGCCACTCTAGAAGGTTTTCGGAGACAGTAAATCACCGAGGAGGAGACTGCCCATCTTTCTCCTCCAGTTGGATTTGAATTGTGTACCTTTCGGTTGAAGGTCTTTCTCTCCTTTACTGGCCCTCTACTCTTCCCAACATCATGTCCCTCTCCAAGGAGTAGCACCTCCTAGAAGATCTTGAACTAGGCGGATTGACACGGTGACTGCTGTAATGGGCTCTTGTGTGTCAGAAAGTGTGAGGATGGCGCAGGATAGAACTGGATTCAGATCTTTCATTCATAGGGTTGCTATGAGTCGTACTCAACTCGACAGCACCTAACTACAACAACCTTTGTTTTGGTTGACAGCACAACTTCTCACCAGTAAGCCACCAGAACTCTTGTATTACAAGGAACACTTGCTGAAAGTGAAGTGTTTTGTTATTTTTAAGAATACATCATGTGGCCTAGATATTTGTTTAAAAAATGTTAAGTTTCACACGTTATGATTTTAACAATAAGTAATACTTGTGTTTATTTTTTCCACACAGAGCCCCCTGGACCAGTTGGAAACTATCCACCTGCAAACTACCCAGGAGGCTTGCCTATGGCTTACTACAGTCCACAACAACCCAATGTCTTCCCTATGTACCAGCCAACTGGTCATACCCAAGCAATTCAGTATCAGCCTGGCAAACAACCTATGCAGTATCCTATGCAGTATCAGCCTGCTCTAATAAACTGGATGCCAGTGCCAGCACCTATGCTGAACTGCCCACCTGGTCTGGAATGTTTAGCTCAGGTATCCCGCAGAAATCTACATCATTTTCATATGACATATGACTACAGAGATCTACCAAGAAAAGATAAATAGCTAAATAGAGCCCGATTGTTACTGATGTTAATATCTCTTTTGTGCAACCATCAGAATGATCAGGCAAATGTCTGAAATGTTTAAAGGGGAATTGTTGTTGTGTACTGCAGAGTCAGAACCAACCCATAGCTGGCTTTCTGGCAGGTTTTCAGATGCCGTGAAGAAGATTGCCCATCCTTCTGCAGACCAGCTAGAGGGTTTGAACCACATGCCTTTGGGATTGCAGTACAGCTTCTTGTCCCTCTACGCCACCAGAGAATAGAGAAAATAGAATGTTCTCAGGGGGGAAAGCTATGCTTTTTTTAAAAAATAAAAGAGCGAGAATGAGATAGAGTTTTAAGATATTGAAAATGTCTTATTTATAGCAAATAAAAAATAATAAAGTTAATAAAAGAAAATTAGAGCAGCTGGAGCTCTGATGGTTTAGTTGATATTATGTCGCACTAGGAACCTCTGATGGCCTAGTGGTAAGATGCTGCTTTGCAATCCAATGGCACATGGTTTAAATCCACCAGTTGGTCTTCAGGAAAAGGATGGGCAATCTTCTTTACTGCCCCTGAAAACCCACTGGAGGTCAACTATGGCTTAGTTCTGACTGACAGTACACCACACCAACAATAACTATTAACTTCTCAAGGGTCAGCTTCTTAGTAGTGTCTAATTAGATAAACTTCTTCCACAGTAAAGAACATCATTACTTAAGGATATTTTGTTCAACACTGGACATTCTTATTACGATCTTGATATACTGAAAAAAATATTGATATCCTAGACTGCTTTTAAAGGCACTGTAAGCCATTTTAGTGGCTACTTTTGAAACTTTATAGACTGTGTTTAGACTTTCCTTACGTAATTCTGTTTTCATACAATCATGCAGCAAATGTCTCTTAATTATGGTTGAATGGTGTCCTCTCTACACTCTCCTATAATCAATCACACCATAAAATTTTAATACCCATTTAAAAAGTCTTTCAATTTCACTAATTTTGTTATCCATATATTTTTTTCATTAACTTATCTATCCAACAAATATAGAATGAGATATGGCAGGTCAGACAAAATTCAGGGTTTGGGGACTAAGAAAGATTTAAATGTGTATAAAATATAATTAATATTTTCACATAGAAAGCTTCATCTCTACTAAAATATTCTCAAGGATAATGGAAAGTAGGTTAAACTGTCTATCTTTGAAGTGATTAAATAAAATAAAGATTCCATTTTGTCTAGTGGTACTCTCAACTTCCCTTTTCAGAATGTCCCATCTCAAACTTTTTCTTGTCCTTTATACTAATCTCACTGAGATATTTGCTGCTTTCCAAATACCTTCCCCTCCTTGTTAATTTTGCATCTGAGGAAGGAAAGTCCATGTATTACTTAGCGGTATCTGTGGAATAATTTAAAGTAGGTCACTCCTTTGTTTGGATTGAAGCTCAACATCAAGAAAACAAAGATTCTCACCACTGGACCAATTGGCAACATCATGACCATGGTGTTGAGACTGAGATTGTTCACAGCTTTAGTTTGCTTGGTTCTACAATAGATACTCTTAGCACCAGCAGCCAGGAAATTAAAAGACTAATTGCACTGGGAAAGTCTGTTGTCAGAAATGTCTCCAAAGTTTTGAAGAGCAATGATGTTAGTCTGGAGACTAAGGTGCACCTGATCCAGGCCATAGTCTTTGCAATAACAACATACACCAGAGAGCTGGACAATGACTAGGGGTAACAGAAGGAGAATTGATGCCTTTGAGCTGTTGTGCTGGAGAAGAGTATTGAATATACCATGGACTGCCAGGAGAACAAACAAGTTCATCCTAGAGAGACTGAGACCAGGCTGTTCCTTGGAGGCAAGGCTCCTAAAGTTTCATCTAACCTACTTTCAACATGTTACAAGACAAGACCAGTCCTTGGAGAGGGACGTCATGCTTGGGAGGGTGGAGTGACAGCACAGGAGAGGAAGACCTTTGATGAGATGGACTGACTCAGGGACTGGGGTCATGGAGGTAGATGTGTCAGAGATAGTAAGACTGGTACAAGATAGAACAGGGTTTAGGGCTGTTGTACATAGGGTCACGATGAGTCACCTCAGGCGATTTGACAGCATATAACAACAACTCCTTTGTGATGATCTCATGGCTAATTTGGTAAATATCTCATGGCTCATTCTTCCCAAACCAATGAAAGGCAGCCAGGATGGCCTAGAGGCAAGAAGCTGCTCTGCAATCCTGAAGGTACATGTTTGAGTCCACCAGCTGCTCTGAGGGAGAAGGATGGAGAATGGGCAACTCTGTGCAATAAACTGCCTCTGAAAATCCCCCAGAGAGTTAGCTGTCGGTCGGTTCTGACTCCATGGGACACAACAACGAACCATTGGGAGAGCTCTGGTGGCTTTGTGGGAGGAGTTGCACTGCCAATCAAAAGGCACAAAATTTGAATCCACCAGCTCTTCCAAGGAGGAGAGGTGGCTCACCTCCTGTGCAATTTACAGCCTCCTCAGAAAATCCACTGGAGGGTCAGCTGTGAGTCAGTTCTAAGTCAGTGGTGCACCATAACAGCCAAGCCACTGAGTGAATTGCTTTCTCTCATGCAGTCTGTGAAAAATTGTCCTGAGCAACTTCAGTCCAGAGGCAACATCAGAAAGACTGAGAAATTGACAGAGCCAGGAATGAATGATCTCCATAAACGTAGTCTTTTCTAGATACTCTCACTGTATCAAGTAAGCAATTTTCTCATATTCAGGGAAAGTAAAGGGATTTTCCCCCCTCTAGCCTAGGAAATTGTGCTAATAAGTATCTGATCAGGTACAGAGAACCAACTTCACTTGAGAAAATGCTTTTAGTTCATGTCATTCAACTTCACAATGTTATCTTTAGTATCTGTAGATATGTATTAATTATCATTTCCTCAATGTTATTTTTTAATACTAATTGGATTTCAATTTGTTATTTCTTTCTCTACTAATTAATTACCTTGTCCTATCCCAACAGCTGGACAATATACATGTTCATCAGCATCTGGAGCCTTTGCAAAGTATGTATCATTTTATAATGTTCAGCAGCATTTTAAATAAGGAGAAATGTCCATCGTCCAATATCTTCATTATATTGATTATCTTTGTGGCTCAGGAAGAAAAATACCTGAACAAAACTGCCTTACCTTGTCTTCAAGAAAGTAATTAGAGTGGTTATTTGTATGCTTTTATCTGTTTTTATATATTATCATAACATGCATGGAAAAGACTTCGTTGGGCACATGCCACCACTCTTTCCATATGCCTCCTCTTTCATAGTTACTCTTCAGAGATGGAAAAGGAGCTAGGAGATGAAGTGAACTAACAGATGTGCCCTAACCAGCTAGCCAGTTGCAGAGCTGGGGCGAATATTCAGAATTAAATTCAGGTCCAGTGTCTTTTCTTTGGACAGCAGATGAAATGAGCCCAGGAAACAGAAAGCCTGCTCTCTGCTTTTCAATGCAGGAATGTTGTTGGACCACATAGCATCAGTTCTATACATTGGTTTCATCACCCTGGACTTTTCTGTTCCTATTCTCTTAGTATATTTTATGAGTTGGTCTGGTGTATGTATCATTTAATCCAAATAATCCTTATGATTAAAGTTTCATAAACTCAATTTGGCAGGTCACATATCTGTATTTGCACTTGGTATAAATATATCCATGTATATCATGGAGCCAGCTAGGGGTGGTTTTGTTACATTTCTTAATCATAACCAAGTGAAGGAATGAATTGCTGGTCTTAATGTGTAGGATTATATTCTCAGTGTGTATCAAGGCCAAGTGGTATAATATTGCCGACAGAGGCCTACTTTGGTGAGTAACCACTGGTGTCTTAACAACTTGCTGTCAGCAGTCTAAGGTGCTGTATTGGTCCCTCCCTGTCTGGGAAGCAAAGAAAAGCAAATAAAAGATGTGTTGAAACAATTAGTTCAAAAAGTCATAGGTCTAAAATGGTAACTGTCAGGACCCTAAGACCAGAAGAAGTAGTGGCACTGCTGCCCATGCCGAAAAGGGTAAGAGTGGAAGGTCCTGGACAGCTGGGGAAAATGTGGAGCAAAATTCAAAGTTATAAAAACAGTCAGGCTTTCTGGTCTGATAGAGGTGGTGGAATCCTCAAGACTTAGTCTTCCTTCAAGCCTGGAACGAAACTCCTCTTCTGACTCTAATTGTGCAAACTATGGTGTTGTTGCTGTTGTTAGGAGCCATCAAGTCAAATACAACTGATACCAACCCTGTGAACAACTGATCCGAACACTGTCCTATCCCATGCCATTCTCACAATGTCTAATGCACTCAAGCCCATTGCCGTGGTCACCATGTCAACTCACCTGGTTGAGGGTCTTCCTCTCTTTCACTGCCCTTCAACCTTTCAAAGCATGATTTCCCTCTCCAGAGAAGACTCTTAGCACTATGCCCAAAGTATGTGATAGAAAAGGTCATCATCTTTGCCTCCAAATATCACTCTGGCTGTACCTTCACCAAGGTATATCTGTTTGTTCTTTTGACAATCCATGATATCTAAAGCATTCTTCAACACCACAGTTAAGAAGTATCAATTCTTCTGCCATCTTTTCTTAATGTCCAGCTCTCAGATGCACAACAAGTGACTGAAAAGACCATAGACTGAATCAGGTGCTTTTAGTCATCAAACTGACGTCATTACTCCTAAATAATTTGAAGAGGTCCCTGTCAGTCCAATATGTCTCTTGAACTCCTGATTGCTGATGCCAAGTGTATTTAAAGTACAAACTTGGTGATAGAAATGAGGCTGGAAATAGAATGATCAAGTTTTTTATGTTCAGTGATTTATTCATTGATAATACTTTAAAACAGAAAAAAACCAAACAAAAAAAAAAAACCCACCACAAACAAAATATGTGTTTGAGAGGATGTGGAGAGATAGTATTGAATGGATTGAGAAATCATGGTACATTCACATGATGGAATACTATGCAGCACACAGGAGCAATGATTTTGAAAATCACTACCTAACGTGGGAGAGTCTAGAGAGCATTATGATGATTGAATAATTCAGTCCTGTAAGGACAAATACTGTGTAAGATCATTATTGTAAAAATAGATAATTAGTAAAATATGCATGAGGCTGCAAGGGGGGAGGGAGGATAGGAGCAGAGGGATGAGGATAGGCAGGGAGCTAATCAGAGGGTCACACAGTTTGATGGGTGGAGGAAGGGTGGGTAAAGGAAATGCGAAATATCCAGTGTGAAAAACAATGTAGACAAACGCTGTAAGGACCAACGTAAAATAAAAATTTTCATTAAAAAAAAACAACCCACAAACTGACTTTACAGATGGGCCTCATCAGATGGACTGTGTAGGAATCAGAGTGACTACATCTGGGGAGAAATCAGTGGAGAAGCTCAATGTCATCAAAATCAGACCAGTTGGCAAGTGTGGAGTAGATTATTAGTTACTCATGTGTAAGTTCAATCTGAAGCTGAATAAAATTAAGACAAGTCCACAAGAACCCAAATATGGTCTCGAATCTATTCCATCTGAATTTCAAAATCATCTTAAAAATAAGTTTGAAGCATTAAACACCAGTGATTGAAGACCAGGTATGTTGTGGATATTATCTATGAAGCCAAAACAAAATGAAGAGACACTGAAAGAAAGGAACTGAACAGAATACTTCAAAGGGCAGCTCAGGAAGACAAAGCAAACTACTATAACAGAATGTGCAGAGAGCGAGAATTGGAGAATAAAAAGGGAAGAACTTAGCATTTCTCAAGCTGGAGGCGCTGAAGGCTGAAACATTAAATAATACTTAATTTTATGGGGAAAAGAGTGACACAGAGAACATCAAAAGAAGATGGAGAGACTACAGAGAGTCACTGTACTAAAAAGAATTGTTGGGCATTGAAATATTTCAGGAAGTACTATATAATCATGAGCCAGTGATAACAAAAGCAAACAATAGATAGACCTTTGAGGTAAACAATAGCACTCCTTTGAGCAATCACCACACAAGATTAAAAGGTCAGAATCTGTGCAGAGATTAAGGTCAGAAGATGAAGATCAGATTAACTCAAAATCAATGATAAAAAAAAAATTAAATGAGCAGACAAACATAAAAAATGAAATCTTATGAATACAGATAAACTAGAAAATACTTTCAACCTTTTATGTGAAAAAAAAATCTGAAGCATTATAAACTGAGCAGCTTAAAATATTTACATTTTCTCAAAAAAAATTTAAATTTTCAAGACTATTCAAATGCTTCGAGATCTTAAGAACTTTCGTGTTCTAATCACTAGTTTAAGTTTCAACACATTTTTATAATTTTCCTTTATGCCTTAGACATAAAACGGTAGGTAGAAGCCTTTCTTGAGAATTTTATCAGCTTCTAATTTTATTGGACTTTCTTTTTTATTTTTCAGTGGTTACAGGCTTCGAAACTAATAATAGATATGATGTTAAAAACAAATGGGACCAGATGGTTTACCTTGTGAACGAAGATACAGATGACTTCACCAGGAATGCTTACCGGTCACTGAGGCCCTTCGTCCTCCGGGTCGTTGACAGCATGGGCCGAGAAATAATGAGAATGCAGAGACCTTTCAAATGTAGCTGCTGTTGCTTCTGTTGTCCCTCAGCCAGGCAAGAGGTCAGAGAACAGACGTCTTACCCATTGTATCTTCCTGATCCAACTCTGAATCCTTTCAGAATAACACAGGGAAAAAGCAGGGATTTCACTGACTTTAGTAGTCAGGCTGAGTCAGGTGATAGGGGAAAAGGTACTAGAGTCAGTGGGTCAAGCTCGAATGGTGGTGTTTATTCAATGACCACTAATCTATTAATGACATCAACTGAATGGAAAATGCATCCATGCTGTAGACCCAGATTCATTGCCCAAAAGTCAGTCCAGCTCAAAGAGATTTTCCAAGGCTGCCAATCAGTCTAGGAGTTCAGTTCATCTTTCCGTGTTCTTATGTATACAGTAGTCTATAAGATTACTGGGATATTTAAATGTCATGCTAAGTAAAATCAGTTACCAAATGTAAGTTTACTTGCAATCTTGATTGCTTCACCTGGAAAAAAAGGAGATAAAAATATGAACTATGCCATAGGATTTTTTTTTTTTTAGATTTTTATAGTAAAGAAGAGTTAACTGCTTAGAACTGCAAATAGACATGCAATAATCATTGTGCAGTAACCCTTGAATCAATGATTGTTTTTAGTGCTGTCTTCCCATAGCGGCTCTCTGTACAGCAGCTCTGAATCCCGCTCTATCCTGAGCCAGTCATTACCCCAGTTACTGTATCATCCAGGGTGTTCCTCTCCTGCACTGTCCCTCCACCTTTCCAAGCATGGTGTCCTTCTCTAAGAACTGGTCCCTCCTAGCTAGGTGCCCAAAGTATGTGAGACAGAGCTTCAAAATCCTAAGTTCCAGTGAGAAACTTGGTTTCACCCTAAGACCTATTTGTTTTCTCGGCAGTCCATAGTATATTCAAGGCTCTTCTCCAGCACTACCTTGTCCTACAATATTATCTAGATTCTCCCCCCTCCCCCAGAATTCTTCTTCCATTTTCTTTGTATTTGTGTGTGTCACCACAACACTGGTAAAGACTAGAAACATCCTTTTTTTATAACCACACTCACCTCTTTCCACTTTCATCACTAATTTCTAGTGACCACTAATATACCCCAGTTCTATGATTCTGACTTTTCAAAATTTATAGATGTGAAGTTACATACTTTTGTTGACTTTGGGATTGACTTTTCGCTTCATGTCAGTAAATTGAGATAAATTGGAGGTGTTGCTGTAGTAACAATTTATTAATTTTTTTGGTAGCTGGGCAATATAATATAAACTTTTCCCTCTTTCTTTTGTTAAAATTAGGTTTTGTACAATTATTCCTATACATTATGCTTTATCATGTGTTTTCACAAACATTTACACACACAGTAAGAATAAATTATATATACATATATAATGATTTATAGAATGAATTACTATTGATCAATGTGCTTCTTTTATTCACATGCAAGGTGTTTTATTATCCCTTCATTCACATACACTGTGTTTTATATAATTAACTATGAGTTCCCCTCCTCCTTCTACTCAGCTTCCTCCTTCTCATTTCCCTTCTATTACAAAGCCTATTCCTATTTTGCTAATTGCAAAAGCCATATTATTCTTTTGTAAATTACTTCCACATTTATCCTCCCTTGTAGTAAACTTTACAGTGTTCATTGACTGTGCAGTCTATCTCTGCTCTCCTAATCCTTCATATCAGAATAGTTATTCCTGCCCCTGTTTTCATAGTAACAGTACTAGGCAAAATTTATCCTTTTGTGACTTAGTTATTTCACTCAGCATAATGTTCTTCAGCTTCTCCTCACGTTGCATTGTATTTTACAAATTCATTGCTCCTTAGAGCCACATAGCGTTCTGTTGTGTGAATGTACTATCATTTCTTTACCTTTTATTTTTTGACGGGTATTTGGACTGTTTGTATCTTCTTGCTATTGTGAATAATGCTGCAATGAGCATAGGCATACATGTCTCCCTGCATGTCTAGGCTCTGACTTTCGCGGGGTATATTCCTAGTCGCTGAATAGCTGGGTCATATGGGATTTCTACATTCACCTTTTTGAGGAAACACAAAACTACCTTCCATAGTGGTTGTTTCATTTTATGATCCCACCACCAGTGCATGAGAATTCCTCTCATTGTGTATCCTCACCGATGTTTATTGTTTATTGTCCTATAAAATTTTGCTCTTGCTGCTGGAGCGAGGGAGGTGGTACCTCATTGTTGTTTGGATTTACTTCTTTTTGATTGCTAGTAATTTTAACCATTTCCTCATATGTTTGTTGATCTCTTTTGCCCATTTTGTGATAAAGTGATCAGTCTTTTTCTTGTGAGGGCATTGTAATATCCTAAAAGTTTTAGGTATGAGTGGCTTGTCTGAAATGTTGTTGCCTAATGTTTTTTCCCAGTCTCTCTTTTCATTCTGCTAGGATAAGGTTTTGATGCACACAGAGATCTTATTTTTAGGAGGTTCCATTTATCTATTTTATCCTCACCTGGTTGTATATTTTGGGCTGTGTTTGCATGCCTATTCATACCATAGACTGAGACGTCTCTAAATTTGCTCTAGTTTTTCTTTGATTACCTTTGTCAATTTTGGTTTTGTCCCTAGGTTCTTAAACTACTTTGAGTTGGTATTTGTGTATGGAATAAGATGATGTTCCTCTTTAAGATTTTTGTTTTGTTGTTTTTTTTTTGTAGATAGATGTCTAATTTTGCCAGCATCATTTGTTAAAGATGTTGCTGGTTCTGCAATTAATGGGTTTCATTTCCTTGTCAAATATCAGTGGACCTTGAGTAGATAAGTTGATTTCTGGGTTCTCGGTTTTATTCTTTTGGTCTTTGTGCCTGTTATAGTACCAGTACCTTGCTATTTTGTTTACTATGGCTATATAGGAGGTTTTGAGATCTGGATTTGTGATGCCTGCTTCTTATTTTTTGTTAAGAGTCTTTTTATGTCCTGCTTGGTTTCTTCTTTTCTGACAGTCTAGTCACATGTTCTACAACTGTACCAATTTGGGTATGGTTTGAGTTTCTAGAAATTTGTCCATTTCCTCTAACTTTTCAAATTTGTGAGAGTATACCTTTCCTTAATATACTATTATTATTGTTCTCCTTTCCTTTTGTTCTGTAGGAACACCCCATTTTCCATTTCTTGCTTGAGTCTTTTCTTTTGTTAAGTTTGCCAATGGTTTGTCTATTTTATTGATTCTTTTCAAGAACTAGCTCCCGGGCTTGTTGTTTTTGTGTTTTCTATTCCATTCCATTTATTCTACCTTTATCTTTTTAATTTCCTTACTTTTAGGGCCTGTGGGGTTAGCCTGATATTCTTTTTTCTACTTTTTGGAGATGCTAACATCTCTAAAAGTTTGTTTAATTCCTTTCTTCTTTTTTTTTTATGTGTTTTATTATTGTTTCAACCTGATCTTTGAGGAATGCTTTGGCTTTACCCAAGAGTTTTTGATACATTGTATTTTCATTTTCACTTGTTTCAAGGAATATTTTAATTTCTTCTGTAACTCAGTAGTGATCAAGCAAGATGTTAAATTATCTTCCACTTGTGGGGGGGGTTATCTTCTTGTTAATTTCTAGTTTTATGGTATTAGGATCTGAGAAAACACTTTGCATTATTTTGAGGCTTTGGAATTTGTTGAGGCTTATTTTGTTCCCCAATATATACTACATGATCAATTCTGGAGAATATGGTCTGTGCACTTGAGAAGAAAGTAAAATGAGTTTTTATTGGGTGGAGTGCTCAAAATGTATCTATCAGGTCTTGTAGGCTAATTATATAGTTTATTTCTCAATGTCTTTGTGTCAAAAAATAAAAAAGGATGGAGCTAGCTCAGTATTTCTCAGGCTGAAGAAACTCAAGAACAAATTTAAGCTTTGAATCGCAATATTAAAAATGCTGCGGAGAGAATCTTGAATGATCCAGGAAACACCCAAAGGAGAATATAGAATCACTGTACCAGAAAGAGTTAGTTGTCACAGAACAATTTAATGAAGTAGCATATGATCAAGAACCAATGGTTATAAAAGGAGATGCTCAAGCTGCTCTGTAGAAATAGGGGGGAAAAACACAAAGCCTTAGGAATTACTGGAGTATCAATCTACATGTTTCAACAGATACAGCCCTGGATGTGTTTACTAGGTTTTACTAAGAAATCTGGAAGATAGCTACCTGACCAACTGACTGGAAGAGATACCCCCCGCCCCCCCAAAAAAAGAGTGATCCAACACACTGTGGAAATTATTGAACAATATCACATGCAAGAAAAATCTTGTTAAAGATTATTAAAAAAATGACTAGAAAAGTACATAGATAGAGAACTGCCAGAAATACAAACTGAGTTTAGAAGGGAGTGTGACATTACCATATCATTGCCAATATGAGATGGATCTTGACTGAAAACAGAGTGTACCAAAAGGATATCTGTTTCTGTTGTATTTGATGTTTTTGTTTTTTTTGTTTGTTTTTTTTTTTTACTGTGCCAAGGCATTTGACTGAGGAGATCACAATAAAATTGTGGGTAACATTGAGATGAATAAGAATCTTATAATTGTGCTCATACAAAACCTGAACTTAGACTCGGACACTGTTGTTCAACCAGAGCGAGGGAACACTGCATAGTTTGAAATCAAGAAAGAAGTGTATCAGGAATGCCTCTTTTCTCCATACCTTTTCAATTGATATGCACAACAGATCATTCAGAGGGCTGGATGTTATGAAGAAGAATGTGACATCAGGATTGAGGGAATCGAGATTATCAATAATTTGTGTTATATAGATGACACAGCCTTGCTTGCTAAAACTGAAGAGAACTTGAATTTGCTTCAGAAGATCAAGGTCTGCAGCATAACAGATCCAGATACACAGAAAGTAATTGAGAAGACTGTGGCCTACATCAAGTGCACCTTGGTCTCTAGGCTTATACCATTGTTTTTATCACTCTGAGAGGTCCCTGACAGCGGACTTTCCTAATGCAACTCGTCTTTTGATTTCCTGACTGCTTCTCAACATTAATATCAATTACATCTCAACATCAAGAAAACAAAATTCTCACCTC